CACTTGAGCCACAGCACCACTTCTGGCTTTTTTTCTTTTTGCTTATGTGGTGCTGAGGAATGGAACCCAGGGCCTCATGCATGCAAGGCAAACGCTCTTCCACTGAGCCACTTCCCAGCCCTTCTGTGAGACTCAATCTCCAGTTAATCAGCAAAAAGCTGACAGTGGAAGTATGGCTCAAGTGGTAGAGCAGCAGCTTTAAGTGGAAAAGACTAAGGGACAGCACCTAGGGCCTGAGTTCAAGCCCCAGGACTCACACACACACACACACACACACACACACACACACACAAGTGTCAGTAGTGAAGGTATGGCTCAAGTAGAAGAACACCAGCCTGGAGTTATAAAAGCTAAAGAGCAGGGCATAGGCCCAGCAGGCCCAGGTCCTGAGTATAACCCCAGGATGGAGGACTTAGAGGAGTTGTCACTGACTTCGGAGCAGTTCAGGGGCTGCAAGTGGCAGCAAAATCTTGGCTCACGCTTGTAATCTCAACTACTCAAGAGGCTGAGATCTGAGGATTGCAGTTAGAAGCCAGCCTGGGCAGGAAAGTCCATGAAACTCTTATCTCCAATGAACCAGCAATAAAGCCAGAGTGGAGCTGAGGCTCAAGTACTAAAGGGCTAGCCTTGAGGAAAAAAAAAAAGCATAGGGACAGCACACAGGCCCTGAGTTCAAGTCCCAGGACTGGCACACACATACAAAAAAAAAAAAAGCTTAGCATTGTGACTCAGCCCAGTTCCAGTCTGCCCCCTGCTGGTGAATCCCAGGTATTGCTGTCCTTGTCCCTCCTCCAGGGTTTCTGTCTCCTGGTAAGTTTCTCCTAAGGGACCAATGAATAGGAATGGATTATTGAACCCATGACTCCTTTCTCATGGGCTCTGCTCCACCTGCCCTCCCAGGAGCCAGGCCACCTCTGGAGAGATGTTCCCTGTCTGCCTGAGTGCATGGCTCAGCCCGGGATTGTTGGCCACCATCTGCTGGTGGGAAGCCAGTTGAGGCTTTGGAGTTAACTGTGGGTCACATGCCTGTGGCTGTGTGCAGACATTTGTCTGTAGCCCCATGTGACTTTTCTATTAGCAGCACAAATTTGATTCATGAACTTGAGGAGTGGAGGGGGGAAAATGACCTGATTTCTCTCCTTT